AGAAAGAAAGAAAGAAAGAAAGAAAGAAAGAAAGAAAGAAAGAAAGAAAGAACCTGTGAATAGAAAACAGATAGAATTACAAAAAGGAAACTAGAATGAATTTGTGAATTGGACAAAATTCAACCCAGGTTCTTCCTGGTCAACCCCAGCGTGCAAAAATAGCCAGAGGATGATGAATTTATAGGTGATTTTCCCAGTGTTTTTTCAGTCTGACCCGTTCAACCAAGCTAAGCAGACTGACAGAATGGAAATTTTAAAACGCTGCTATTTGTACGCAGAGCTCCGAGGGAGGAATGGTACCGTTGGACACAGACTTCATCGAGCAGGATGAGTCTGCATTCTGCTTGGCAAGGATAAAAGCTTTTAGTGCAACTGTGATGCTCTCCTCTCCTCTCATATGCGCTTCCAAGAGTCGATGGGATTTCGGTGCACTTTGTTAAAACTTAGCACACCCTATTTGATTTACTCAAGTGTGTCTAAATCGTGGCTTCGGGGGACATGCCCAATGTATTTTGTGTTTATATCCTCCTTTATTGTACAAATAACTTGGCGAACATATCCAGCACACTTCCTTCCTCCTACCTCACAACAACCCTGTGAGGTAGGTTGGGCTGAGAGGGAGGGAGGGAGTGGGGTGTGACAAAAACCATGTTGGATTGGGACAATTACCTTAGTCCCTCAGCATGCTTTCATGACTAAGGTCGGACTAGAACTCACAGTCTCCTAGTGGTTGGCCCAAAGTCACTCAATTGACTTTAATGCCTAAGGTGGGACTAGAACTCACAGCCTCCTAGTGGTTGGCCCAAAGTCACTCAATTGACTTTAATGCCTAAGGTGGGACTAGAACTCACAGCCTCCTAGTGGTTGGCCCAAAGTCACTCAATTGACTTTAATGCCTAAGGTGGGAATAGAACTCACTGCCTCCTGCTGATTGGTCCAAAAGTCACCCAGCGGGCTTTCATGGCTAAGGCGGGACTAGAACTCCCAGTCTCCAAGTGATTGGCCCAAAAGTCCCCCAACTGGCTTTCAAGATTAGAACTCACTGTCTCCTGCTGGTTGGCCCAAAAGTCCCCCAATTGACCTTCATGCCCAAGGCAGGACTAGAATTCACAGTCTCCTGCTGATTGGCCCAAAAATCACCCAGATGCCTTCAGGCCTAAGGTGAGACTAGAACTCACAGCCTCCTGGTTTCTAGTCTGCTACTTAACCATTAGACCAAACTGACTCTCAATGCTAGGCTAGGTAAAGGTAAAGGTTCCCCTCGCACATATGTGCCAATCGTTCCTGACTCTAGGGGGCGGTGCTCATCTCCGTTTCAAAGCCAAAGAGCCAGCGCTGTCCGAAGACGTCTCCGTGGTCATGTGGCATGACTCAATGCCAAAGGCGCATGGAACGCTGTTCCCTTCCCACCAAAGGTGGTCCCTATTTTTCTACTTGCATTTTTTTACCTGCTTTCGAACTGCTAGGTTGGCAGAAGCTGGGACAAGTCACGGGAGCTCACCCCGTTACGCGGCACCAGGGATTCGAACCGCTGAGCTGCCGACCTTTCGATCGACAAGCTCGGCGTCTTAGCCACTGAGCCACCGCGTCCCTTTTAATTTTAATTTTAATGCTAGGCTGGATGGATGGAAATTTTAACTCCGTGTTTTGCAACCTCGGCAACTTTTAAGGCAATGTGGACTTCCGCTCCCAGAAATGAGAAAGCTTAGATAAATAAACAAACTTTATCTCCCCCCAGAAACTGAAGAAGTGGCAGTCGGCGAACTGAACGGGGAAGTGTCCCTCCGATGCTGGAACGCGTCTTCTCAAGTGTTGTTGGTGCAATGGTTTCAAGGCGAGCCAGGTGCGATTCCCATGCTCTTCTCCTCGGATGGAAAGCTGCCTTCCGACAGCCGCTTGTCCCTAGTGGGAAACAGCTCCCTACACATTTCCGGATTGCGTTTGGAGGACGAAGGTCATTATGTGTGCAGAGAGATACTGGCCGAGACCAACCATACCCACAAGATCCAGTTACTGATGGCCAGTAAGTCTTCCTTCGTCTTGTTTAAAAAGGGTTAAAAAATGCTAGTAAAAAAATGCTACTAGTTCGCCGAACCAGTAGTAAAAAAATGTAAAAAAAAAAAAAAAGTTCTGACGATCAGCTGACCGATGCGCATTTTTTTGAGCGAATAGGTAGTAAAAAATGCTTTAAAAAAGTAAAAAAAAAAAAAAAAGAGGTTCCAATGATTGTGTGGCACAGCTGTATCCTGGGACACGTATATTCGCCTTCATTCAAACTTATTCCTGTGATACTCACAAAATGCCTTGATTACCATACCCCAATTTTTTTTTTTTAAATTTGATTTATATGCCGCCCTTCTCCGAAGACTCAGGGCGGCTTACAATGCGCTAAGCAATAGCCTTCATCCTTTTGTATATTTATACAAAGTCAGCTTATTGCCCGCACAAACTGGGTCCTCAATTTACCTACCTTAGAAAGGATGGAAGGCTGAGTCAACCTTGAGCCTTGGAGAGATTCGAACCTGCAGTAATTGCAGGCAGCTGGTCTTAATAACCAGCTTAATAACAGGGTGCCTTAGACCCCTGTACTACCAAGGCTGTACTACCAAATTTCACTAGCCCTTGGCCAAAGGACTGGGCATTGTAGTCCATATGTACGTGCACATGTGCAGAGACCAGTATAGGGTAGACAGAGGTGGGTTTCAGCAGGTTCTGACCAGTTCTGGCGAACTGGTAGCAGAAATTTTGAGTCATTCGGAGAACCGGTAGTAAAAATTCGGACTGGCCCCGCCCGCATCTATTCTCTGCCTCCCAAGTCCCAGCTGATGGGGAGGAAATGGGGATTTTGCAGTAACCTTCCCCTGGATTGGGGTGAGAATGGAGATTTTATAGTATCCTTCCCCTGCCACGTCCACCAAGCCACGCCTACAGAACCGGTAGTAAAAATGTTGAAACCTACCACTGGTGTGGGGATGCTTGGCAAATATAACAGGGGAAAATATTAACGATGTATGTGAGAATAGGTGTTGCATTAAGTCCACAATCGCCAACCCAACAAGGAAGGTCATAAGAGGTCAGGACTAATTTTATTGTAAAGCTTTTCTCGTAGTTAAAGTGCTGGCCTAGGAACCCGTTACCAGGAGATGGTGAGTTCTAGTCAAAAATTTTAGCAAGGGGTTCTCTGCCCGGTTGCTGGGTGGGAGTGGCCATGGTGGGCGTGGCCTAGTAGTAGAATTCAATATAGTTACTGCTCTGGGATAGAAGCAGTTTTTCAGTCTATTTGTCCTTGTTTTTAGTGTCCTGTACCGTCTGCCAGATGGTAATAGTTCAAAAAAAAAAGAGTGCCCAGAATGAGATGGATCTTTAACTGGAGGTTTTCAAGAAGACACCGGATAGCCATTTGTCCAAGATAATATGGGGGTCCCCTGTTTGACCAGAGGGTTGGACTAGAAGACCTTAACAGTAACAGAGTTGGAAGGGACTTTGGAGGTCATCTAGTCCAACCCCCTGCTCACGCAGGAGACCTAAACTAGGGATTCGAACCGCCCGAGCTGCCGGCCTTTCTGATCGACAAGCTCGGTGTCTTAGCCGCTGAGCCATCTAGCCACTGGGTCTCCTGCTTGAGCAGGGGGTTGGACTAGAAGACCTCCAAAGGTCCCTTCCAACTCTTGTTATTCCCTGACTTCGATTGTTTTTCTCCTCAAACCCAACAGGCCAAGTTTGCCATTTCTGCAAATTTACTTAACACTGAATTCCTTCCACGAGACTTCCGCGTTCTCCCAGCTTATTGTGAGCACAATAATCTTTCTGCAGTTACCAGATACAAACCCATATTTCAGCTTCTTATTTGCTTTCAAGGTGTGGCTGGCCCGTAGTTCTGCTCTTTTGCTTACGGAAGGCGAGAGCCGCGCCCCTTTTAACTGGTGCACAACGGCGCCTAGCAAAGGGGGCAGATTTATAGGTGTGCCATATACAGGTCATCCTTGACTTAGGATCCGCAATTGAGACCAGAAGTTTCCTCGCTTAGGAAGGGGTTTGTTGAGTGAATCGTGCCCGATTTTACGGTTATTACCCAAATCACTTTCATTGTTTAAGCAATTGTCGACTGCGTGGTTAACTGTGCAGTGATTTGCTTAACAATCGGGGCACAAAAGATCATACAATTGGCCACTATTCCTTGCTTAGCCAAGGAAATTCTGGACTGAACTGTGGTCGTAAGTCGAGGACTTACCTGTACATGGAATTGTTTTTTCCAGCATCAGAAAGATAAGGGGTCCCCCCCCACTTGTCCCAATGTTTCTTCAACAAATCTTTAGATTGGACAACCATGCGTCGGAAATGGTATAGGGTTTCCTGCCTGAGCAGGGGGTTGGACTAGAAGACCTCCAAGGTCCCTTCCGACTCTTGTTATTCAGTTATTCTGCATTGTCTGGGATGCTACACATCCTCTTTGTGACATGTTTTCCTTGTTACCTTCTGGGAAGGGGCTTCGTGGTATCCGAAGCAGAACATGCAGATTCCATATAGCATCGACCTTGTGAACTCTCAAGTTTCCTCTTGGATTCAAAATAGACAATGAATAATATATCTATCTATCTATCTATCTATCTATCTATCTATCTATCTATCATCTATATCTATCTATTTATATTTATCTATATATCTATCTATCTCATCTATCTCTATCTATCATCTATCATCTCTATCATCTCTATCATCTATCATCTATCTCTCTCTATCATATCTATCTATCTATATCATCCATCCCTCCATTCATCCATCTCTCTCTATCATCTATCTATCATCTCTGTCTATCTCTATCTGTCATCTATCTATCATATCCATCTATCTATATCATCTCTCTCTCTCTATCATATCTCTATCTATCTATCATCTTTATCTATCATCTATCTATCTATCATCTATATGTATATCTATCATCTATCTATCTCTATCATCTATCTATCATATCTGTCTATCTATCATCTATCTATCTCTCTCTGTCGCTGTGTTGTGTGTGTGTGTGTGTCTGAGTGAAGAGCAGGCAACAGAATTTTATTTTCAATGTGTGCCAAAAATGACAACAAAGATTCTCTTATCTATCTTATCTTAATATGTTCTAAACACGATGAGAACATCTCCGGGGCCTCCTTGTTCAGATGAAAGGGGAAGGGAGCTGATTGACCGAGGTGGGATTTTGGTTTGTGGCATGCCAGATTTCCATCTTTCAATTCAGATAAAGAAAACAGGGCAGGATGTTTAACAGGTGTATTGGAAAATGTCTGCAACCGCCTTAATTCCCACGGGGGCCGCATTGCCAGGAGTTGTCCTTGGCTCAGATCCTAGCTGGCCAGGGCCACCTGCTCCTGGTAACTCTGCCTGCTGTTGTGGTTGTGGAGAAAAGATTTGCTTGGCATGTTGAAGTTATGCCCGCCTCACCCAGAAGCTGCAACTATTTCAAAATGCAATACTGGTTGTTTTCGGCCACCACCGAGCCCAAAATTTCCATTGCTAAACAAGATAGCTGACTAATTAAGTTAGTTTTTTGCCCCGTTTTACAACCTTCCTTGCCACCGTTGTTAAGTGAATCAAGCAGTCTTTGATGCACGAAACGCAATGAGCAAAATCTTCAGAAATACGAACGGTTGTCTCCTATGACAGCCACTCCCCTTTCCTTCTATTTATTCCCCAGCCAGGGAGGGGACATTCAGCGTCCACATGTGCTTTGCTTCCCGAGTCGACTTCTTGTTCTCCGTTGCTCACCTCTCCTTGCTCACTGCCTTACACTTACACTGCCTTACACATACGTGCATCTAAAACAGACCCCAGCTGTTCTTCCTCCTCACTCATCTCAGCCTTTAAAGGCATCTGCCTCTCCGGTGGCTGGAAAGTGTCAGACAGCCCTGGCTCTATCTCTGTGTTTGACACACAGCCTTCCCCAGACTCCAGCACTGGCCCAAGTTTCTCCCCAATCTCCTTATCGTCCGAGTCTGCTGCCAACTCCGCTGGCAGCTGGCGGGCCACAACAACTGTGGCTGAGGATTTTGGGGAGCTGAGGGTCTTGAGCCTTGCAGATGCACAAGGTCCCACTTCAGGCTCCAAAATCAAATTTTTACGTCAACGTGATAATTAACACTTTTATTTTGACCTACTTGCTTTCCAGGTGGACCAAACCAGATGGAGGTCAGCATATCTCCCACCGGGACATTGCCAAATGGCACCCTTTATGCCAAAAGACATGGCGTCTTGAACTTCACCTGCAGCAGTGACTCTTGGCCTGATTCGGCCACTAAATGGGATTTTAACCCACTTGGTTCCGCGCAGGAACCGTTCACCGATGTCAACGGCTCGCGGAGTTCTTTCGTGCTACAGAACGTCATGCCCAACTACCAAGGGAATTACTCGTGTCTGGCCACCAACTTGTTGAGCCAACGTCAGAAGTCCGTCATCCGTGAACTCCTGGTCTACTGTACGTATGACGAAAAATATCGGCAGGGTGTGTGCCGTAGGTGTCCTTTTTTTCTCCCAGGGGAATGTTGCATTTCTGGAAATGCCCAGAATTGTTGGCTCTGTGCCGTTCCCTAAAGGAATTATTTCCTTGAAGCATTTAAAAAAAGATTGAAAGCATTCAGCATGAGGAATTAAAACATTCGAAGTCAGCAAGAACTAAATGATAACGGATGGACCCTTTTCAAAGAGAGAGCCAACCAGGGGTGAAATCCAGCAGGTTCTGACAGGTTCTGGAGAACCGGTAGCGGAAATTTTGAGAAGTTCGGAGAACCGGCAAATACCACCTCTGGCTGGCCCCAGAGTGGGGAGGGAATGGAGATTTTGCAATATCCTTCCCCCAGGAGTGGGGAGGGAATGGAGATTTTGCAGTATCCTTCCCCCAGGAGTCAGGAGGGAATGGGGATTTTGCAATATCCTTCCCCCAGGAGTCAGGAGGGAATGGAGATTTTGCAGTATCCTTCCCCCAGGAGTGGGGTGGGAATGGAGATTTTGCAGTATCCTTCCCCCAGGAGTCAGGAGGGAATGGAGATTTTGCAGTATCCTTCCCCCAGGAGTGGGGAGGGAATGGAGATTTTGCAGTATCCTTCCCCCAGGAGTGGGGTGGGAATGGAGATTTTACAGTATCCTTCCCTCAGGAGTCAGGAGGGAATGGGGATTTTGCAATATCCTTCCCCCAGGAGTGGGGAGGGAATGGAGATTTTGCAGTATCCTTCCCCCAGGAGTGGGGTGGGAATGGAGATTTTGCAATATCCTTCCCCAAGAGTCAGGAGGGAATGGGGATTTTGCAGTATCCTTCCCCTGCCATGCTGGCCAAGCCACGCCCACCAAGCCACACCACGCCCACCAAGCCACGCCCACAGAAGCGGTAGTTTAAAAAATTGGATTTCAGCAGTGGAGCCAACCTACGATAGAACTAAGGAGAAATTTCCTGATGAGAATGAGAATGAGAATGGTGAGAATGATTCATCAGACTCGCCTCCAGTTGTGGGTGCTCCATCAATGGAGGTTGTCAAAGAGAGACTGAACAACCATTTATGGGAGATGATATAGGGCCGTGATGGCGAACCTGTGGCACGCGTGCCACAGGTGGCATGCAGAGGCCGCTCTGCGGGCACGCGAGCTCTCACCCCAGCTCAGCTCCATCGTGCATGTGCCCGTCTCTCCCGCTGGCCAGCTGGTTTTCGGATCTGTGGCGCGCATGCGTGGGGGGCGGGGCACATGCAGGAGATGTGGCAAGGTGCAGAGGTGTTGTGTACACATGCACAGGGGTCCTGCGTGTAAGTGCAAGGTGCGGAGCGCATGCAGGGGGTCGTGCACACACGTGTGGGGGGCAGCGGGGGCAATGCACATGTACAGGGGGCAGGAGGAACATGGTGAGTTGCGTGCGCATTAGTGGGGGGCAGGGCACCCAGGGGGGGGAGTCACGCACGCATTGCATTATGGGTAAGTGCATGAGCGCTTTCATGTTAAGATGAACAGATTTCCTCTTCTGCCAAAGTGGTTGTAGGGAAAAAAATGCTTTTAAAAGCCTCTGACGATCCCAGCTGGGTTGCCTGATCGTCAGAGGCTTTTAAAAGCATTTTTTTTTTTTTTTTTGTATAACCTCTTCGGCCGAAAAAATGCTTTTAAAAGTAAAAAAAAAAAGCCTCTGACGATCGCGCGGCTCAGCTGGGATCGTCAGAGGCTTTTCAAAGCATTTTTTTACAACCTCTTCGGCCGAAGAAGTTGTAGAAAAAATGGTTTTAAAAGTTTTTTTTTAAAAAAAAGTTGGCCACGCCCACTCAGTCATATTACCCCCCCCATCAAGCCACGCCCACAGAACCGGTAGTAACAAATTTTACATTTCACCACTGCTTCAGATCCCCCACCGTCGTCACCGAAATGTCGGGCCGAGACCTCCACGGACAATTCTCAGGAGGTCCGACTGTCGTGCAGCTGGCCGGGGGGCTACCCATCCCCTACGCTCCAGTGGATCAACTCGGAGGATCTAGTCATGGATTCCAATACTACCTACCTTGCAAACGATACAGTGGTGTCTCTGCGAGGATCGCGCCAGCTTTGGGGCAAGGATTTTACCTGTCGCGGAAGCCATATTGCGAATGAGAAGGGAAACCAGAATTGCACCTCGCGCTTGGGTGAGTCAAAGATGAGACCCCTGAATCGCACAATTTCATGCTGCATCCCAAGACTCCAAATGTTAAGGAGCTGGATGGGATTTCTCTGCCTGTTCTCTTCGTCTCTTTCCATCAGTGGTGGATTGCCTCCGGTTCGGACCGGTTCTATAGAACCGGTAGTAAAACCGGCAGGAGGCTCCGCCCTTCGACCCCAACGTCATCAGAATGCTTTTGCGCACGCACAGAAGCTTCTGCGCATGTGCAGTAGAGCGCACGGACCTGTTGCGAACCGGTAGTAAAGATAAGTAGAACCCACTCCTGCTTTCCATGCTCCGAATATAAGGAATGGCTGATTTTAAGTCCCTTATTTTATTTTATTTTATTTTTTTAATTTGATTTATATGCCGCCCTTCTCCGGAGACTCAGGGCGGCTTACAATGCACTAAGCAATAGCCTTCATCCTTTTGTATATTTATACAAAGTCAGCTTATTGCCCCCACAAACTGGGTCCTCATTTCACCTACCTTAGAAAGGATGGAAGGCTGAGTCAACCTTGAGCCTGGTAAGATTCGAACCTGCAGAAATTGCAGGCAGCTGTGTTAATAACAGGGTGCATTAAACCACTGTACTACCAAGGCCCATTATTTATTTATTTATTTATTTATTTATTTATTTATTTATTTATTTATTTATTTATTTATTTATTTATTTAAATTTCTATACCGCCCTACTCCCGAAGGACTCAGGGCGGTGAACAGCCAGAGGATAAAACACATAAATACAAAAATTTAAAATAGAATAAAAAACGAATTAAATAATTTGGCTGAACAAATTTAAAATACCCCATAATTTAAAAACAGATTAAAATTTGCATTTAAAAAGGGGAGATTTTACACTGTTGGGCCTTGTTCTTTCGTCTTCCATTTGATTTTTTGTTTTTTAAGGTCTGCAGCCTTAAACACTCAAAAGAGCCATTTGGACCCGTTTCCCCAGAAAAGAAAACACCGGGAGCCACAAAACCCTTCCCGTGCCTGACTATTTCCTGAGCGGCCACAAAACTAGCATATGTAGTTGAATTAAACGTTCTGTTTTTTTCTGAAACTTTTCTTTTCTTGGATTTATCCATGGTTGGCCTACCGGGGGTTGAAAAGCTCAATAAATTGCGTGCCAGCGGGTGTTGCACATTGGCGGTTGGGACGCATATTTTGAGTGACAGGGAGCCGCAGCAGAGGAGTGAAGGAGCCACATGTGGCTTCAGAGCTGCAGGTTGCTGACTCCTGGACGAGGTGACCTACAAGGTTCCTTCAACTCTGTTAACCTGTTAAAAGTTGCCCTTCCTGTCCTTCCAACTCCACTTTGCTTTCCTCTTGCGTCAGAGAGGCCCTCGGTCATGTCCAACCCGATGAAGAGCTGCTTTGTGGGGAGATCCGTAGAGATGACTTGTGAATTGACAGCCGGCAACCCACTTGCGAGGATCACCTGGCTACGCAACCTCTCCAAGGTGGAAGTAGAGATCAGGTCAGGGGGGAGGTTTCTCGTCAGCCAAAAGGACGGGGTCTCTACCCTTCTCATCCAGAACTGCTCCACCAGCCAGAGACCAAGGATACTACATCTGCAAAGCTGAGAACCCCCTGGGCCTGAGAGAGGTGTATGTCCACCTGAAGGTGACAGGTAAGTAACAACGTTGAAAGAGTGGCATTTTGGCCCGTTTCAACAATTGAAATGTTGAAAAGGACATTGAGCTCCAAATTTCTCTTGCTACGTGAGACGTTTGTTAAGTGAGTGTCGTCCCATTTTACGACCTTTCTCGCCACGGTTGTTCAGGAAACCACTGTGTTCTGTCCCCCTTCCCTACACGGGCAAACACACAACCAGGCACTCCTGCCAAGATTTTATTAAGCAATCAGATTAGAAACCCTTGCAGATAAGAGTTTTGCAGTAAACTGCGTAATGCCTGCCAAGTCAGTTTTCACTCACAGTGAGCAAGAGAGAATTTATCCTCAGTCCGGTCCAGTAGCAAAAAGTAATCCATGAAGCAAGAGTTAGCCAAGGTCCAATCCAAATATGCACAAGCCAGATTTCAGGTAATGCAATGTGACTCTCAGGTTTTTAACTTTGACCATCACAAAGCCTGAAGAGCAATCCCACCCACTTTTATTCCTTGTGGGGTGTGGCTCAGTGACTCAGCTCAATCTCTGGCCCTCCCACGCCTCTTTCGTTGCTGCGCACACTTCTCCCTCCGACGCTGCCTGGGATCAAGCCAGGATTCATCCTCCTCGCTCCCTCTCTGTTGTTGTTCCGATATGCCTTCCTCCTGGCATATCCCAGGCTGTTCCTCTTGGCCTTCGGATGGAACCTGAGGCATTGCCAGAGAGGAGGGTCCTGGAGAGGGAGGCCTTGTCAGTTCCTCCCCATCACCTTCTGAGTCCTCTTCCTCTGTTAGGACAGGCTCGGGCATCTGGGTCACAACAAACTGCAGTCGTTAAGTGAGTCACAGGATTGTAAAGTGAATCTGGCTCCCCCGTGGACTTTGTTTGTCAGAAAGTCAACAACAGAAAGTCATAAATATAAACCAGTTGCCAAGCATCCAGGTTTTGATCTTATGACCACGGGGATGCTGCAATGGTCGTAAATTTGAAAAATGGCCATAAGTCCATTGGAGGAGGAGGAGAAATTGCTTCCTAACATTTCCTTCTCCATCTATCTCTCTCCTTCTTTCTCTCCCTCCCTCCCTCTCTCTCTGTCTCTCTCTCTCTTTTCCCATCTCAATGCTTTTTTCTTTCCAACTTTCTCTGCAGAGCCTGTGAACGTGGCTGGCATTGTGGGGTCCGTTGTAGTCCTTTTATTGTTGGGAGTTCTGGTCTTTTCTGGAATCCTTCTCTACGCAGGACCTGAGGTGTGCCTCAAAGGTGAGAGAGGTTCTGTAGAAAATTGCTCATTCTAGAGTAATCAAACCATAATGGAAGGCATTTGGGTTTTCAAAATGCGTCTTTCTTGGATTGTGCTTTAAGCGATCTTGTAAGAACTTTGAAAAAGAAAATATTTCGAATATATGGGCACACCCTTCCAATCATTAAATAAAAGATAACCAAAGGTTTCTAAATGTGATATATGTTGCTAAGATGGGTGGCCAATACATTAGATGGTTGGTAGGTAGGTAGGTAGGTAGGTAGGTAGGTAGGTAGGTAGGTAGGTAGGTAGGTAGATAGATAGATAGATAGATAGATAGATAGATAGATAGATAGATAGATAGATAGTTAGATAGATAGATAGATAGATGATAGGATGGATGGACGGATGGATACTAGATTGATAGATCGATAGATCGATAAATAGATAGATAGATACCAGATAGATAGATAGATAGATAGATAGATAGATAGATAGATACTAGGTGATAGATAGATAGATAGATAGATAGATATAGATAGATAGATAGATAGATAGATAGATACTAGATAGGTAGGTAGGCAGGTAGGCAGGTAGGTATGGAGGATAGATAGATAGATAGATAGATAGATAGATACATACATACATACATACATACATACATACATACATACATACATGATAGGTAGGTAGGATAGATAGATAGATGATAGGATGGATGGACGGATGGATACTAGATAGATAGATAGATAGATAGATAGATAGATAGATAGATAGATAGATAGATAGATACCAGATAGATAGATAGATAGATAGATACTAGATGATAGATACTAGATGATAGATACTAGATGATAGGTAGATAGATAGATACTAGATAGATAGACACAGACAGAGAGAGACAGATAGATACTAGATGATAGATAGATAGATAGACACAGACAGAGATAGATGATAGATAGATAGATAGATAGATAGATAGATAGATAGATAGACAGACAGACAGACAGACAGACAGAGATAGATGATAGATAGATAGATAGATAGAGAGATGATAGATAGATAGACAGACAGACAGACAGACAGACAGAGATAGATAGATAGATAGATAGATAGATAGATAGATAGATAGATAGATAGATAGATAGATAGATACTAGATGATAGATAGATATAAATATTTTGACATTGCTTTTGATGCTTACTGTATAAACGTAGAAAGCAAATGAGTAACTTTTTAATAAAAGTATTTTTCTCTTTTTCTCTCTTTCATGTTTCCAGTGAGCGTGCTTCGGTAAGTTTCTTTCTTTCTTAACTAGAAAGTCTCAGCCCGTTTCATCCACAGAAACCATCATTTGGAGAAGGGATTGTCAAACCTTGTGGTAGCGTGACTCTCTTAAAACGAGACAGCCCATGAATTTGCCTAAAGCTTCACCCAGTGAATAAAGCCAATAATTTCATTGGGGTTAGGGTTGGGCAAGAAAGAAATTTGCCACAATATTTTAGACGCAATCTCACAGAGTGCTCAATAGTTGTGCTAGTTCAACACTCAACAATCAACTGCAGGTATGCTTGATAACAATAGAAGAGAATATTTATAGCTCGGGATTAAAAGGTGGGATCCTTGGTGCTCTCTGAGCTTGGTTGTTTTCTTGCAGACATTTCCCTACCAAACTAGGTAACATCATCAGCCCTAGAAGGATGGGGTTTGCAGAGAAGAGGAGGAGGAGGAGGAGAAAGGGAAGAGGTGGAGGAGCCAGGAGGAGGTTGGTGAGGTCCTTGATGCAACTAGGTAACATCATCAGTGCTAGACCTAATTAGGTAATTAGGACACATCTGCAAGAAGACAACCAAACTCAGAGAGCACCAAGGATCCCAAACTTGATAATATCTCATCTACCAATTCGGGTCACGTTGCTACAGGTCAAGAAGTTCTTTGTTGAACATCACCTGGCAGGGATGGTCCTTTGAGCAAGGAGGAGAAGAAGAGGTCCCTTCCTTCCTTCCTTCCTTCCTTCCTTCCTTCCTTCCTTCCTTCCTTCCTTCCTTCCTTCCTTCTTCCTTCCTTCCTTCCTTCCTTCCTTCCTTGTCATTGTTGGGTTCTTTGCAGGAATCGAGATGCAGGTGACATCCTTGAACTTATGGACTCAGAAGAAGAAGATCTGTACTTGGAGTCCACCATCGAACCGTCGTTACATCAGATGGAAAGGATAGGAAACGGATGTTCTACCAGATCTACCGAAAGTAAGCTGAGTGAAGTTGAGGAACGCGGCAGGCAGGAACTTTTCTGTCTCATTTTGTCCCTGCAGTCTCAAAGGCTAAGTCCAGGGGTGAAATCCAGCAGGTTCTAAAGAACTGGTAGCGGAAATTTTGAGTAGTTTGGAGAAAAGGCAAATACCACCTCTGGCTGGCCCCAGAGTAGGGTGGGAATGGAGATTTTGCAAAATCCTTCCTCCAGGAGCGAGGAGGAAATGGGGATTTTGCAGTATCCTTCCCCTGGAGTAGGTGGGAGGATGGAGATTTTGCAGTATCCTTCCCCTGTCAACCCACCACGCCACACCACGCCCTCCGAGCCACGCCCACAGAACCGGTAGTTAAAAAAAAAAATGGATTTTACCACTGGCTAAGTCCCAAAAGAGAAGGATCGCTTTACAATTTTTTAAATTCTTCTCAGTGTATTTCTTAGGACTTTTTCAACGACGCATCGGTACATCTTGATCCATTAAAGAAGAAATAGATTTCTGTTGTTGAGTGAGTTAGGTTCACCCAGTCAGATTTCATGCCTAACATGAAACTAGAATGCCTCATCTCCTAGTTTCTAGCCTGGTGCCATTAGACCAAACTGGTTCTTATAATAGGGGAGGGAGGGGGGGGAGGGAGGGAGGGAGACAGATGACATGGTGGAGCTGCTAACCGTACCTGGCGGCTATTATTATTATTATTATTATTATTATTATTATTATTATTATTATTATTATTATTATTATTATTATTTAATATTTAGTGAGATTCACAGCTTTTGAGGCTGGTTAATAGCTCAGCAGCTCGAGTCCTAACCAAGGACCTAGGAACTGTTAAGGTATTGTCGGAGGATGTATTATTATTATTATTATTATTATTATTATTATTATTATTATTATTATTATTATTATTATTATTATTATTATTTACTTTATTCATTAAACATGAAACTCAGTCAACTGAACATTCAAAAACGTATCACAAATACCATTGACTGGTGCTAATGGTTGATACGGGTTGCTGCCAGCGTCTTAGGTATCAACCAAGCACCTTCTTAAGATGTACGATGTTCCAAGTAGTGCAGTTTTTTGCAGTTCCGCCGGTGTTATTGCAGGAAGCTGCAATTTGCTGATATATGTTATAAAATTCTTGGACGTGGTACCAAGTGCCCCAATGGTATCACTGTTACATTGTTACACTATTATTATTATTATGACAGTATACACAGCAAACGAGATGATTATGCTGGATTTTGTATCCCAAATCACTAGTCGAAGACTTCCCAAGCATTTAGGACTGCGTGATGTATCGGTGGATTATGCGAGCAGATCCTAGTAAGGTGGCCTTCTGCAGCTGACCAATGGTGATCAGTATTATTATCAATCATTATTAATAATAAATATAATTATAATAAATAAATTATAAATAAATTATAATTATAAATATTATTATTAATTATTAGTAATCAGTATTATTATTATTATTATTATTATTATTATTATTATTATTATTATTATTATTATTATTATTTTGGTCTTTTAATGACAAATAATCCCTTGCATCAGGGTGGAGTCGGGGCAACTGAATGGAGCTGAGTGTGTTTACTGGCCGGATGCCTTTCCTGACGCCAAATGCGGAGTTTTGTTCGGCAGATATATTCTCATTGTGCCCAGAGAGAGAAATATCAGCCTCTACCTAGGATCGAACTCACAAGCCTCCTGATTGTGAGGCGAGAGCTCCAACCGCTAGGCCACCGCACCACTCGCTAACCATACCTGGCTACGGTTTTTAATTTCGGTGCATGTTTTCCCAGGCTCGTTTCCGGAAACGTCCATCTCCCTGGAGGAAATCCAGAGGTCCAAACCCACGTCGTAGAACGGAGGATCTCTTCCTTTGCTTTGTGTACTAAGATCGGAAGCCGTCTTGCAACCCTTTTGCAAAGGATTCCTGCAAAGTTATTCCCATCTGGGTTGATCTTTCTTTTGGCATCTCCTTCTATTCCTCCCGTGCTGCTCTTTGGCTGAGCTGCGTGCCCTGCGGAATTTGAAACAACATTTACGATGTAGGGCGAGGATAAGAATGAAGTGGCTTTTTCGAAACCAGAGGAAGAAAAAATTGAGGACAATTTTTCGTGTAGCAGAAGCCTTGTGGTCCTGCGGAAGAGCTTGGAGGAAGAGGGAGAGATTTTCCAGCTGGTCCTGGATTCCCCACCCCCCACCCCCGATCCCAAGAGTTCCAAAGAGTTAGATCCCAAGAGATCCAAAGAGTTAGATCCTCTTTGGATATGACTCTTAATAGGGGTCAAAGTTCATAGGGCAGTGATGGCTAACCTTTTCTGGACCGAGTGGCCAAAGTGTGCAAGGATACGAACCCCAAAATCAGGGGGGAAATCCAGCAGGTTCTGACAGGTTCCGGAGAACCGGTAGCGTAAATTTTGAGTAGTTCGGAGAACCGGCAAATGCTACTTCTGGCTGGCCTCAGAGTGGGGTAGGAATGGAGATTTTGCAGTATCCTTCCCTCAGGAGTGGGGAGGGAATGGGGATTTTGCAGTATCCTTCCCCCAGGAGTACGGAGGGAATGGGGATTTTGCAGTATCCTATCCCCCAGGAGTGGGGAGGGAATGGAGATTTTGCAGTATCCTATCCCCCAGGAGTGGGGAGGGAATAGAGATTTTGCAGTATCCTTCCCCTGAAGTGGGAGGGAATAGAGATTTTGCAGTATCCTTCCCCTGCCTTGTCTACCAAGCCACACCCACCAAACCACACCACGCCCACCAAGCCACGCCCACAGAACCGGTAGTAAAAAAAATTGGATTTCGCCACTGCCCAAAATGCAATGCGTGTGCAACCCCCCCACATGCGCCTCGCCCCCCCCCTCCTAGGCCTGCCCGGCAGAGACCAGAAGACCAGCTAGCTGGTGGGAAGCGCCTACCCATGTGCGGCAGAGCCAAACTGGGGCGACGCCTCACGTGCCCACAGAGAGGGCTCTACGTGCCACCTCCGGCACGTGTGCCATATTTTCGCCACCACGGTCGTAGGGTTTGTTTCAGGGAAGGAAGCGTCAGAGCAGCTCCTGTTTGGCGGGTGGGAAATAATCATCTTGCATCACCGTCTTGCCTAGGTGCAGATGACCTGAGGCACTTAAAACCCCTTTGTGTCCTCTAGGGTTTGAGTGTAGGAAGTCACTGAGAAAGATCGTGTCGTACGTCACCCAAGGCAGACATTTGGGGGTGGGGGGCTTTGGACAGGAGGTTATCTCAGCTCTGAAAGGTAACAGGCAAAGGTTCCCCTGGCATGTATGTGCTAGTCGTTCCCGACTCTAGGGGGCGGTGCTCATCTCCGTTTCAAAGCCGAAGAGCCAGCGCTGTCCGAAGACGTCTCCGTGGTCACGTGGCGGCATGACTCAACGCCAAAGGCGCACGGAACGCTGTTCCCTTCCCACCAAAGGGGGTCCCTATTTTTTCTACTTGCATTTTTTTACGTGCTTTCGAACTGCTAGGTTGGCAGAAGCTGGGACAAATCACGGGAGCTCACCCCGTTACGCCGCACGAGGGATTCGAACCGCCGACCTTTCGATCGACAAGTTCAGTGTCTTAGCCGCTGAGCCACCGCATCCCACAGCTCTACCTGGGTATTGAACTTGAGGGTCTTCTTCCCACAAAGTGGATTGCATGCCTCATTTCTGGGATCTTCGGCGATCTGTGAATTGTAGGAGCAGCCGCAGCTGTTACCTGCCAAGCAAAGTATATAAACTATGCTAGATTACTGTATAAAAAGGGTCCCCTTGCTCGATGAATATATATAAAAATGGTGCCGTGACATGAACTGGAAATCATCATCATCACTTAATGACCCCATAATGCCTTGCAGGGTGGAGTCTGGGCAACTGAAAGGAGCTAGCAGAGGGTTTACTGGCCGGATGCTTTTCCTGTCGCCAATGCGGAGTTTTGTTCGGCAGATATATTCTCAGTGTGCCCAGAGAGAGAGAGAAATACCTGCCTCTATCTAGGATTGAACTCACAACCTCCTGGTTGTGAGGTGAAAGCTCCACCTCTAGGCCGCCGTACCACTCTTGTGACAAGAACTGGAAATGAATTGTTGTAAAATGAGGACTACCGGTGTACCTGTTGAGATTAGAACCATGTAAAAATTTTACGTTGGATGTCGGATGCTAGAATAATGTACCAGTCAGGGTCTGTTTACGGACATGCAGGTGGATTCGGTTTTCTTCTTAAAATGCCACTTTTCCGGGTGACATAACGGAATGACGGAGTTGGAAGGGTCCTTGGAGGTCATCTAGTCTAGGGGGTCCCCAACCTTTTGGACCTCAGGGACCACTAAACTCATAATTTAAAATCCCACGGACCACTAATAGGATCTGCCTAATGACCGGCTGGGTGGGCGTGGCTAGATGGTCATGTGACTGGGTGGATGTGGTCAACTGGATGTCACTCACGTTGAGGGGCACCTCGCTGGCCTCTACTCGCCCCTCCCCTCCCAGCCTGCCCGCCGGGCTCCTTAGGGCCCCAACAGGAAGCAGTGGTTGGAGCTAAGCAGCCCCCACGAGAAAGAGTCGGCAAAAGAGCTCAGTTCAAATTGGATCTGACCGAGAAGGAGGCTCAGCAGAAGCACCTCACTGAGGACTAGGAGCATAGGCTTTCCAAGCAGAGGGAAGACCTGCGGGAGTGCCAGGCCAGGTACTGGCGCCTGGAGGCTCAGCGGGCTGAGATGGTCAGCCAGTTCCAGGCCATGATGCAGTCCCACTGGAACGAGGCCCTCCGGCTCTTTGCCACCAGCGGCTCTTCCCTCCAGCCTTCGCCCAAAGCCCCACACAAGGAGGCTGAAGCAGACCCCAAGTCGGAATTTCTGCCCCCCTCCGACCCACAGAAAAAGACCCCGAAAGGGGGAGACTCTCTGCAGCAACACAAACATTCATTGCATGTATCCGTCCCAGGGGCCGTAGTTTGAGGACCCCTGATTTAGTGCAATATAAAAAATGCAAATAATTTTTCTGCGGACCACCAAAATTTTCTCGCGGACCACCAGTGGTCCTCGGACCACCAGTTGGTAACGGACCACCAGTTGGTGACTCTAGCCCACCCCCTATTCAGGCAGGAAAGACCTACACCACTCCCCACAAATGGTTGCCCAATCTCTTCTTAAAAACTTCCGGATTTGGAATACTCGCACGCCTTCTTTGGGTGTTGCAATGAGAGTTTGACCTGCTCCGCTCCTGAAATTATTTCTTCTTTTCAAAGGCCTGTAGCAACCAGAGGTCAAAATGCGTACCGCCTTGTAAATCTGGATGAGCTCTTTTGTTCGTGGAATAAAAGTGTGGCTTTTGGATATAAAGGTTACTTGCCTGCAGGGCGTGTGCTTCTGTGTTTGGTATGTGCGGCTGTGTGGGTGTGTTGAATTATGTGAGGTTTTGTCATTCACTCCATACCTTTGAAGAACTGGAGCTATTCCTATTTGCTGTCTTTTAAGTTAAATGTGTATTATTTATCGGCTAAATGCTGCCATTTCCTGTATCCTGTTAGCAAGCGTAGCGTTTTCTGTATTTATTTATTTATTATTTATTAGTCCAATTTATATGCCGCCCTTCTCCGTAGACTCAGGGCGGCTTACAATGCATTATAGCAATAGCCTGCATACTTTTTATGTATATACCTGCTTATTAGGGCTTTCCCCCCCCCCCAAGCGGTGTTGTTTCTATACAAAGTCAGCTTATTGCCCCCACAATCCGGGTCCTCAATTTACCTGCCTCGAAAGGATGGAAGGCTGAGTCAACCTTGAGCCTGGTGAGATTCGAACTCGCACTAACTGCAGGCAGCTGGCATCTAAGTGCTAGCACTTAACAGCACTTAGTCCGCTGCATCTCCGAGGCTCTTACGGGTACAGGTAGTCCTCGACTTATGACCATCATCGAGGCCAACGTTTCTGTTACTAAGCGGGACATATTTTTTTTTAATAAAAGTTTTTTTTTTTAAACAAACAAACATACAAACAAACAATGCATCCTTAATCATTCAGTGTTTCATCTCAGTGCATTTTTTGTGTCCATCATTTTCATCTTATATTTCTATCATACCTTTATGTTTTCATTTTGATTGTTACATCATTCTTCCCAAATTTATATATATATATATATATCTTCTCTAACCATTGATATAATTGCCCCCATACTTTAAAATACTCCGATTCTTCCTTTTCTTTAATTACAATGTTAATCTATTCATTTCTGCACATTCCAATATTTTCTTAATTACTTCTCCCTCTAAAGGGAGTTTCTCTGCTTTCCAATTTTGCGCAAATACAATTCTCGCTGCAGTTACAATATGTATATGCAGGACATTTCTTAAATGAATTTTTACCCTCATACCCACTGCAGTCAAACAAGTGCCAGATGGAGAAAGCAGCTGGATGGATCCGATTACTCCTCCCCCAAAAAGCCCATCAGGCTGTGGATGATGGGAGTTGCGGTCACGCAAGCACCAGATGGGGAAAGCAGCTGGATGGATCAGACTACTTTCCCCAAAGCCCATCAGGCTGTGGAGGATGGGAGCTGCGGTCCAGCAAGCGCCAGATGGGGAAAGCAGCTGGATGGATCCGTTTACTCCTCTCCCAAAAAGCCCATCAGGCTGTGGAGGATGGGAGCAAGCGTCAGCCTGGGGAAAGCAGCTGGATGGATCAGACTATTCCTCCCCCAAAGTCCATCAGGCTGTGGAGGATGGGAGCTGCGGTCAAGCAAGCGTTAGCCTGGGGAAAGTAGCTGGATGGATTAGACTACTTTCCCCAGAGTCCATCAGGCTGTGGAGGATGGGAGCTGCAGTCAAGCAAGCGTCAGCCTGGGGAAAGTAGCTGGATGGATCAGACTACTCTCCCCCAAAGCCCATCAGGCTGTGGAGGATGGGAGCTGCGGTCAAGCAAGCGTCAGCCTGGGGAAAGCAGCTGGATGGATCAGACTATTCCTCCCCAAAATCCCATCAGGCTGTGGAGGATGGGAGCTGCAGTCAAGCAAGCGTCAGCCTGGGGAAAGTAGCTGGATGGATCAGACTACTCTCCCCCAAAGCCCATCAGGCTGTGGAGGATGGGAGCTGCAGTCAAGCAAGCGTCAGCCTGGGGAAAGCAGCTGGATGGATCAGACTATTCCTCCCCAAAATCCCATCAGGCTGTGGAGGATGGGAGCTGCAGTCAAGCAAGCGTCAGCCTGGGGAAAGTAGCTGGATGGATCAGACTATTCCTCCCCAAAATCCCATCAGGCTGTGGAGGATGGGAGCTGCGGTCCAGCAAACACCAGATGGGGAAAAACAGTCAAGGGTCGCCCCGGCCAACGAATCGGGGCCATGCCACTTTCTCCCGAGTCAATCAGTTGCAGCAGCTCTCCATCTCCCGCTTCGCAACCCGCCGTGCGCCCAGGGCGCAAAAGTGGCGCAGGGGCGGAGCGCGTCTCCTCCTCCTCCTCCTCCTCTTCTCCGCCTCGGGCTCGGAGTCGCCGGCTTCCCATCTCTGGCGAGCCCGCCGTCATCTGACTCCTCCCGGGTAAGGGACGGGCTCGGGAAGAGGAAGCGGCCCCGGATGGAAGCGGCCCGGGCGAGGGTGCCGGCCGCGGCTGCAAGCGGTGGGGAGAGGCGGCGGCGGCGGAAGGTGAGCGGTGGGGCGGTTTCCAAGCGGGAAGACACCGGAGCCTTCCTTGCCTTCCATCACCTGCCTGAATCGGGCAAGGGGATCTCGGGCATCGGGGGAACCAACCAACCAACCGCAGTGCACCTTTAAAGAGATCCTTCCATCTTCCCCGCTTAGGGTCTTCCCCCCCCCACAAGATCCCTCCCCTCCCTCCTCCCCTTTGTGTGTGTGTGTGTGTGTGTGTGTTTGCGACTGCCTGGACAAATCTCTGCAAGGTTTCCAGGGGTTTGTTTGCCTGCTTCTGGTGCCGACTGCTGGCCCAAAGACCCCCACCCACCCACCCACCACCGGCTGAATTTGCCGCCCGAAGGTGGGACTAGAACTCGGGGTCTCCCGGTTGGTAGCCTGGTGCTTTAAGCCGCTAAGCCGTTCTCAACCCTTTTCTCCCCTCCCCTTTCCCACCTTTCGTTTTCCTATCTTTTCTTCTCCCCTCCCCCTTCTCCATCCTCCACTCCGTTCCCCTTCCTCTTCCCATCTTCCTTCCCTTCCCTCTCCTCCACTCCCTTCCTCTTCCTCTCCCCTTTCCTTCCCTCTCCTCCACTCCCTTCCCATCCTCCTTCCCTTCCCTCTCCTCCTTCCTCTCCTCCACTCCATTCCTCTTCCTCTCCCCCTTTCCTTTCCCATCCTCCTTTCCTTTCCTTCCCTCTCCTCTACTTCCTTCCCCTCCTCCTGCCCTTCCCCTCTTCTCCACTCCCTTCCTCTTTCTTCTTTCCTTCCCTCTCCACTCCACTCCCTTCCCCTCCTCCTTCCCTTCCCTCTCCTCCACTCCCTTCCTCTTCCTCTCCCCCTTTCCTTCCCCATCCTCCTTTCCTTTCCTTCCCTCTCCTCCACTTCCTTCCCCTCCTCCTTCCCTTCCCTCTCCTTCACTTCCCTTCCCTTCCCTCCCACACCTCCTTCTCTTCCTTTCCCTCCCTCCCATTCCCCATTCCCCTTTCCTTTCCTTCCCTTCCCTCTCCTCCACTCCCTTCCCCATCCTCCTTCCTTTCTTCCCCCTCCCCTCCCTCCCTCCCCTTCCCTCCTCCTCTCCTCTCCCTCTCCTCTCCTCTCCTTCCTCTCCTCCTCCTCTCCTCTCCTCTCCTCTCCTTTCCTTTCCCTTTCCTCTAACCTCCCTGTAATTTTCTTGGCAAGGATTTTCAGAAGTGGTTTTGCCATTGCCTCTTTCTTAGGGCTGTGAGAAAGGGACTGGCCTAAGGTCACCCAGCTGGCTTCATGCCTAAGACAGGACTGGAACTCAGGGTCTCAAAGTTTCTAACTCGATGCCTTGGCCACCACAACCGGTTCTCCTTCCCCTGGCCTTGAAAAAAAAAAAGTGATTTATGACCCCTTTTTTCACACTTACGACCATTGCAGCATCCCCCATGGCCACGTGATTTGCCTCTAACCACTCCCCCAGTTACGACGGTTGCGGCAATCCCGGAGTCACGTGATCCTCTTTTTACGACCTTCTGACAAACAAAGTCCAAGGGGGAAAACCAGATTCGCTTAACAACCGGGTTACTCATTTAAGAACGGCAGCGATTCGCTTAACGACTGTGTCGGGAAAGGTCTTAAAGCGGGGCCAAACTCACTTCACAAATGTTTCACTTAGCGACAGAAATCTGGGGCTCCATTTGTGGTCGTACGTTGAGGACCACCTGTTATTCCCGAGGTATCCCTGTATTTGCTGGACAAATGTTTCACTTAGCAACAGAAATCTGGGGCTCCATTTGTGGTCGTACATTGAGGACTACCTGTTATTCCCGAGGTATCCCTGTATTTGCTGGACAAATGTTTCACTTAGCAACAGAAATCTGGGGCTCCATTTGTGGTCGTACGTTGAGGACCACCTGTTATTCCCGAGGTATCCCTGTATTTGCTGGACAAATGTTTCACTTAGCGACAGAAATCTGGGGCTCCATTTGTGGTCGTACATTGAGGACTACCTATTATCCCTGTATTTGCTGGTTTTCGTGGTAAGGACTGTATCAATGCGGGAGGGGTCTGTAATGCGACGGCTATCCTCTCCCTAGGAGAGCCCCTCCTCGTGGCCGAGCTCAAGCCGGGACGACCCCAACACCGTGACTGGAAATCCAGCTGTGAGACCTGGAGTGTTGCCTTCTCCGCCGACGGGACCTGCTTTGCCTGGTCACAGGGCCACTGCGTGGTCAGGTTGCTCCCGTGGCCTCTACAGGGGACTGAGCCGTGAGTATGTCCACACAGGGGAGGGGTGCTGCAGCCATCGTCCGAGGCAGCTCTTTGGACTCCTGATAGTCAGAATAACAGGGAAGGGACCTTGGAGGTCTTCTAATCCAGGGGTCGGCCACCTTAAACAATCAGAGAGCCATTTGGACCCATTCCCCACAGAAAAAGAAAACACCGGGAGCCACAAAACCCTTCCCGTGCCTGACTATTTCTTGAGCAGCCACAAAACTAGCCTATATAGTTGAATCAAAGATTCTGTTTCCTTCTGAAACTTTTCTTTTCTTGGATTTATTTGGCCTACCGGGGGTCAAAAAGCTTAATAAATTGTGCGTTGATGGGTGTCGCAATTTGGCAGTTGTGACGCATATTCTGAGCGACGGGGAGCCGCAGCAGTTTGCTCGAAGGGAAGGAAGGGAGCAACTTCAAGGATCTTTTCTGACTTGGTGACCTCTTTCGATCTTCTTTGTTCCACTCCACCGCAGCCACGGCAAAGCTTTGGAACCCAAGAACCAGTGTGCAAAAACCAAGGCCAAGGGTTATGGCGGGACCAAGGAGAAGAGCTTGGAATGTGGGCAGATTGTCTGGGGTCTGGCTTTTAGTTCGTGGCTGCCGTCCCAACCACATAAGTATCGCCACAGGAAGGACACCTCTCCTTGCTTGATCCTGGCCACGGGTTTACATGACGGGCAGATTAAAGTCTGGGAAGTAGAAACAGGTAAGTCGGCTTCGTTTCCTGAAACGGAAGGGCATCTTTGCAAATTGGCTTACAGATACAGGTGCTGTGACCTAGGCCCAAGTAGTTATTACCAGACACAATCAGTCCTAAAGAAACATATTTTATTAGAACAGCTGAGAATTATTTTATTCTCAGTTGAGCCCAAATTAAATCCAAAACAAATTCTTCGTAAACAATCCTTCGGCCTTATCACCAACCTTTGTCTACTTTGGCACCCTGCCAAAGGCTTTCCTTGGCAAAAGTTCAGAAGCAAGAGATGTCGACAAGAAACAAATGTAGCAACGTTGCTTTCCTACAAAGATCCCAAGAGCCATTGCTGCTCTTTTAAGCCTTCTGGGAGGGGCCAATCATCTCCTGGCCTTACTCTCAAGTCGTCCCTTTTGCTTTAGCTGCTCTTGCCTTCTGGTAGCTCTTCGCATGCATGCATTAGGAACAGGCTCCTCCTGTTCCTCTGCCTCTCTGCTGTCTGCCTCTGGAGGCTCCGGAGTCTGTGCATTGCTCCCAGATGGCCCTGGCCCCATCTCTGCCTCCGACGCAGAGCCCTCGTCTGGGCCTTCCCCAGCCTCCAGGACTGGCGCATTGTCCTCCCCAGCCTCCTCACTGTCCAACTCCACTGCCAGCTCCGCATGCTGGCGGACCACAACAACAGGCACATGTGTGTGAAGCTTCTTTCATCCTGCCTCAATACAGGTAGTCCTCGATTTACGGTACGAGTATGTTTGTTTTAGAAGCCTTTTTAAACAAGATTTATTGAAATGCAAGACATAATGTTACAAGGATTTCAGCAATTACCGTATTTTTCGGAGTATAAGACGCTCCGGAATATAAGACGCACATTAGTTTTTGGGGAGGAAAACAAGAAAAAAAATCTGCCTTTGCCTATCAGCATCCATTGGTGTTCATCTGGCTAGCATCCTTGCAACAAACAGCAAACAGCCTGGTCAGCTTCAGCACGTTATCTCAGCCTGATTTAGCACGAACAGCTGATTGGCAGTTGAATCGGCCTCCCGGAATACCACCAATCAGCTGTTCCAGGCTGCGGGGATCACCACAGTATATTGCCGCCGATTGCCACCTCTGTGCATCATGTTTTCAGCCTCTGCGCGTCAAATTTTCGGCCAGCTCATGCACCATTTTTGGCCTCCGTGTGTTGCATTTTCAGCCAGTTCCAGGTGGCGGGGATTGGCAGCGGCAGTAATCCCTGCTGCTTGGAACCAGCCGAAAATGCGACACGCGGAGGCCAAAAATGGGGTGTGCAGAGGTGGTGATCGGCAGTGATGTGCTGTGGCGATCCCCGCAGCCCGGGGCGTGCGGAGGCTGAAAACATGACGCCCGGAGGCTGAGAATGGCTGAAGGGTGGGGGCTGGAGGGTGGGCGGGGCTTCGGCAACATTCGGTGTATAAGACGCACCACAATTTTTACCCACTTTTAGGGGTGGGTGGGAAGTGCGTCTTATACGGGTATGGGTAAGCTGCAGATAATCCTCGACAACCCATTTCATTTTCCTTTTGCTCGCTGCCTCCTCCTCTGCAGGGAACTTGCTTTTTCACCTTGTGGGGCACCAAGACGTGGTGAGGGATTTGAGCTTTGCACCCGGCAACCCTTGTTCCATTCTCGTCTCTGCATCCCGAGACAAAACGCTTCGAGTTTGGGACCTCGGTCAAAACGGTAAGAATGAGGTGCGGAGTCTCTGGTCCGTCAGACACTTTCCCTCGTAGCATTCAAAGTGGTACCCCAGGTTTCGCCCCGGGTTTTTCAGTGGCAAATGGGAAGGAGACTCTGTAGCAGGGGTGAAATTCAGCAGGTTCTGGAGAACCGGTAGCGGAAATTTTGAGCCGTTCGGAGAACCAGTAGCGGAAATTTTGAGCCGGTTGGAGAAACGACAAATACCACCTCTGGCTGGCCCCCGAGTGGGGTGGGAATGGAGATTTTACAATATCCTTCCCGCAGGAGTGGGGCGGGAATGGAGATTTTGCAGTATCCTTCCCCTGCCACGCCTACCAAGCCACGCCCACCAAGCCACGCCCACAGAACAGATAGTAAAAAAAAATGTGAATTCCACCACTGCTCTGTAGATGCCGTGAAACCTTAGCGTTCATCCAAAGCTTAACCACTGTTCGCTAAGGAGTGAGAGAGCAAGGGGTGGGACTAGATGACCTCCAGCTCTATTACTGTTAACTGTAAAGGGAAGGAAGCCACCAAGCAGAGAGTAGTGGGATCTCCCCATATATTTTACCAGGAAACGTAGATAGGATTGGATCAAAAAGTCGGCATGCTCTTAAGAGGACCGATGTGCTGGGAATCCATGGATGATATCCATTTTGCTCTCCAAATTCATGGAGACCTAACCCTAACCCTAAATGGGTTGGCCCCCCCCAGTGGGATTTCCCCATGTATTTTACCAGGAGAGGTACACAGGGCAGGCTCGAGATGTCAGCACCTTCCTATGGAGACCAATGCACTACCTATCCATTGCCAATATTCATTTTGCTCTCCAACGGTAATTTATGGCAACCTAGCCCTAAGTGGACCTAAATGGACATGGTGGCTCAGTGGCTAAGACTCTGAGCTTGTCAATCGAAAGTTCGGCAGTTCAGCGGTTCGAATCCCTAGTGCCGCGTAACGGGGTGAGCTCCCGTGACTTGTCCCATCTTCTGCCAACCTAGCAGTTTGAAAGCAGGTAAAAAAATGCAAGTAGAAAAAATAGGGACCACCTTTGATGGGAAGGGAACAGCGTTCTGTGCGCCTTTGGCATTGAGTCATGCCGGCCACAGGATCACGGAGACGTCTTCGGACAGCGCTGGCTCTTCGGCTTTGAAACGGAGATGAGCACCGCCCCCTAGAGTCAGGAACGACTAGTACATACATGCGAGGGAACCTTTATCTTTATCTTTTAGCCCTAAGTGGATTTGCTCCTCAATGGGATTTTCCCATGTATTTTACCAGGAAATGCAGATAGGGAAGGCTCAAAGAGCCAGCGCCCTCTTAAACATATCCATGCCCTACAAATTCATTGGCGATGTCCATTTTGCTCTCCAAATTCGTGGAAATCCTAAGCGGATTTGGCAAATCCCATGTATTTTACCAGCAAACGTAGAGAGGGCAGGCTCGAAGAGTCAACATCCTCTTAAGCAGTGCATTCATCATCATCATCGTTTAATGATTCCATAATCCCTTGTGGGGTGGAGTCTGGGCAACTGAATGGAGCAAGCAGAGTGTTTTAATGGCCGGATGCCCTTCCTGTTGCCAGGGCGGAGTTCTGTTCAGCAGATATATTCTCATTGTGCACACAGAGAGAAAAATATCTGCCTCTACTTAGAATTGAACTCACAACCTCCCGATTGTGAGGCAAGAGTCCAACAATGCGATTTTCCTGTGTATTTTACCCCGAAACATCAAAGGCTCTGCTTGTTGGCCCCTGCTAGTTGGACATTCATAGGAGAGGGACCCGTAGCATTCAGACTTCCTATCTGGTTCTCTAATCGCCACGTTCCCCCTCTTCTATTTTTTTCTAGGGAAGCAATTGAAAGTGCTTTCTGGACATTTGCAGTGGGTTTACGGTTGCTCCATCTCTCCCGACGGTCAGATGCTCTGCTCTGTGGCCGGAGAGAAATCGGTGAGTTAAGTCTACATAGAAAGGGTCATGTTGTTGACAGTGAGAAATGAGGTTGGTAGGTAGTTCTTTGGTGACAATCTATCTTTAGATTTGTGACCAAGTGGTTGGAAGGCAGTATTGCAGGCTGCTTCTGCTGCCTGCTGGCTGCCTGCAGTTTGGCAGTTCGAATCTCGCCAGGCTCAAGGTCGATTCAGCCTTCCGTCCTTCCGAGGTGGGTAAAATGAGGACTCAGATTGTTGGGGGGCAAGAGGCTGACTCTGTAAACTGCTTAGAGAGGGCTGGAAAGCACTGTAAAGCGGTATATAAGTCTAAGTCAGGCCTGTCAAACTGGCGGCTCGCGGGGCCGGATGCGTCTCACGCAGGCCACGCCCACCCTGGCTCTGCAAAGGCAACCCCCCCCCCGTTGCAATACGTCATGATCCGTCACATGTCTCGATCGAGTTTGACCCCCATGGTCTAAGCGCTATTGCTATTTATCTATTTGTTTATTTATTTAATTTGTTTAATTGATTAATTAATTAAATGAATTAATTATATTTATTTTATTTTATTAATTTTCCTAATTAATTAATTTATTTTTATTTAATTTATTTAATTTTTTATTTAATTTAATTTTTAATTTTTAATTTTAATTTTTATTTATTTCCCCCAATTTATTTATTTAATTTATTTAATTTATTATTTATTTCATTTCATTTCATTATTTTATTTATTTTTTCTAATTTATTTAATTTATTATTTATTTGATTTGATTATTTTATTTGTTTTTTCTAATTTATTTATTTTGTTTGTTTTGTTTTGTTTGTTTGTTTGCTTATTTATTTTTGTCATTTCTCACCGTTCCAGGCTCTGCTCTGGAGTATGAAGTCCTATGGCCTGCTGCGGAAACTTGAGGGTCACCAAGGCTGTGTCGCGTCTTGTGACTTTTCTCCAGATTCTGCTCTTCTTGCCACTGCTTCCTACGACACCTGCGTGATCCTCTGGGATCCCTGTACGGGGGAGAAGCTACGGTCCCTTTGGTAAGGAAGGCGGAGGGAGAGATGATGCCCTCGCGAGGTGGGCTAGGCAGGAAGCACGCCCTGAATGAATTTAATTCTACTTTCGTGTAAGATTCCATTTGCCCGAATCTGGCAAGTCTGAAAGGACAGGTAGCTCTCGACCTACGACCCCAATTGAGCCCAAAATGCATGTTGCTAAAGTGGAGAAAATGGTTCCGTGAGTTTTGCCCCATTTTACGACTTTCCTCGCCGCGTTTGTTAAGTGAGTCACTGCCGTTTTTAAGTTAGTAACCCGGTTGTTAAGTGGATGTGCCTTCCCCGTTGACTTTGCTTGTCAGAAAAGGGGATCACTGGGACACTGCAACCGTCAGAAATGTGAGTCAGCTGTCAAGCATCCGCATGTAAAATCACGCGACGGTGGGGGCTCCTGTAATGGTCCTAAGTGGCTTTTTTGTGTGCCGTCGTAACTTTGGTTACCGAATGAACTGTTGTAAGTCGAGAACTACCTGTACAGTTCTCTCCTGTCCCCTTTACATCCCAAGAAACTAGGGAGGGTCTCTATTAAGATGTTTGCCCTGCCCTTATTCCTGCTGAAGGCTTGGCTGCCTCTTATCTGATGGTTCCATTGGTTATAGCTCTTTCCTCTTGTCTCTGAAGGTCATTCCCATATAGACCATGACAGGGCAGCTGGGAGGACTCAAAGTTGCAAACCGGTGGGAGATGGACAACTGTCGAACTCCTGTCCAAGGACATGATGTGTATCAGTTTAGATAGCTTTACCAAGGGACTGAACTGGGTGTGTGTTGCGGCCAGTGGAGCTGGCAGCAGAGTCGGACAGTGAGGAGATTGGGGAGGAACAATGAGCTAGTCCTGGGGGCTGGGGAAAGCTCGGACGAGGGCTCTGCGTCGGAGGCAGAGAGAGAGAGCTAGACAGCAGCGAGACAGAGGAATAGCTGGAGCCCGTTCCCAGTGTGCACATTCACAGAGCTGCCAGAAGACAAGAATAACTAAGAAAGCAGGGTCGACTCGTGAGTAAAGCCACACCTTGGAGGTGATTGGCCCCTCCCATAGGAAACAAAAGAGGAGCGAACGGGGAGGGGGCTTTTGCCGGAAACAATTCATTCGTTTGGTCGTTTCAAGAGTGGAAAGTTCTGTTCGTGACTATAAGAGACTCTGTGCCAAGTTTTGCCTTGCCCTGCATTTGGAAACTAGTTACCTGGCAGCTTTCCAAGCAAGATAAGGTTTGTGTCGATAAATATTCCTCTGAAAGACTGTTTGCCAAGCCTTGCTGACTGTGAATGGAAGAAATTCACAGTCGTGTAAATAAAAGGGGTTTTGCCGGGACCGAGACTCTGCTTCCTGCTTTTTACGGGAGCCTAGATCAGAACAGTGTGTTCGCAGGGGTCTTCCATCAGCAGCTGATAACCCCCCCCCCGGTGGGCTAGTAGGAAGATTCCAACCTGTTGTTTTTCCTTCTTCCCAGGCATGTTCCTTTGCAACCTGCAGTGGACCAAGGTGGGAACTTCCACACCAGCTCCCTGAGGTCTGTGTGCTTCTCACCTGAAGGCCTCTACCTGGCCACGGTGGCAGACGACAGGTAAGAGGCGACAAAGTGGAACGGAAATGTTTACGTTGCTACGGATCCTGTCCCAGATATTATGTCTACAGCTGGGGTGTCGAACTCAATTTCATTGAGGGCCGCATCAGGGCTGTGGTTGACCTCAGGGGGGACCAGGTGGGCGTGGCCGACTGGGTAGGCGTGGCCAGCTTGATGCCACTCACTGGCCATGGCCAACTGGGTGAGCGTGGCCATCTTAACACCACTCCCCAAAACTGCTGGCCTGATGTTTCTTCTTCGCATTGGGTAGACCAGGCCAAAGCCACACTTACCGGCTCCTTACATTTTCTAGGACAGCCCCACGAGCCGTATCCGACCACATCCGGCCCGTGGGCCTTGTGTTTTGACACTCTTGGTCTACAGTAAGGGGGATACAAGAAGTAAAGGCAGTGATGTAATTTTGAACAAGATGGTACTTAGGATGAAAGCAGTGGAATCCAAGACCAAGCATCTCTCTCTCTTGGAGAGGAGATCTCAATGAAACTGCCGTCAAGGTCTCTGGGAATTCAGAAGGATGCTTCCTGAGTTGGCCAACATATGGGTCAGGGTCAGCTGATGTTCTCCAGATGGTTTGGCCTACAGGTCCCATCTGGCTAGGAGGGATGGGACCTGGAGATCCAAAACACACAGAAGCTTAAGAAGACTGGTTTTTGTTTAGTTACAGTAGTGGCCAAAATTGTGGAAACCTTTTGGGAAAAGTGTATTTTGGAGGTTTGATGGCTAATAGCACCACTTTTTTTTTTTTTTTTTTTTTGGAGTTTCAAGATAATCCTATTCCACTGCTGGAATGGCCTGGGAATAGCCCAGACCTTAACCCAATTGAAAATCTACGGAGCCCACTAAAGAAACTGGTTTGTCAGAAGCGACCTAGCAATAAAACCCAGTTAATAGAAGCCATCGTTCAATCTTGGTTTCACATTAGAACAGCTGCAGAACTAAAAGACTTGGTTCACTCCATGGGAAGATGTTGTAAGGCCGTCATTCATGCTAAAAGTTACCCAACTAAGTATTAACTGACATGGTGATCATTTTTGTATATCTCATTTTTTTTCTACGTGTTTCACTTTTCTTCTTTATACTGTAACTGCTATTCTAATAGCAAATCCTCCCTAAAAGTTATTGCATTGCATTCTTGATTAGATTATCTTTCCATTGATATATAATTTTATGGCACTACTCCAAAACAAAAGTGATGTTTATTGGCTAGTTTTAGAAAATACACTTTTTCCCAAAAGGTTCCCACAATTTTGGGCACTGCTGTAGGTTCTTGGGCTCAATTTTGGAACACAAACAACATGTTTTTATTATCTCCTTTAGGCTCCTCCGGATCTGGGCATTGGAGATTGAGAATCCTGTTGCTTTTGCTCCTGTGAGAAATGGTCTCTGCTGCACTTATTTTCCACATGGTGGGATCATCGCAACGGGGTAGGTTTTGGGATGAGAACCGTGCAGTGTTTGTTTCAAAGCGTGGGGGGAAGAGATCTTAAGAATCTGGTGTATGAAGTGTACAGAGATGCCCATGAACCATCCACCTCAGTGGTGGAAGTCAATTTTTATTTACTATGGTTCTGTGGGCGTGGCTTGGTGTGTGTGGCAGGGGAAGGATACTGCAAAATATCCATTCTCACCCCAGTCCAGGAGAAGGATACTGAAAATCTCCATTTCCTCCCCACTCCAGGGGAAGGATATTGCAAAATCCCCATTCCCTCCCCACTTCAGGGGAAGGAAACTGCAAAATCTCCATTCCCTCCCCACTCCAGGGGAAGGATACTGCAAAATCCCCATTCCCTCCCCACTCTGGGGCCAGCCAGACGTTCTCCAAACTACTCAAAATTTCCGCTACCGGTTCTCCAGAACCTGTCAGAACCTGCTGAATTTCACCCCTGATCCACCTGCCAATAGCTCCTTGGACCAATTGTGTCTTCTTCTTGGGGACATCTTGAGGTTGTAGACTTAGCCTGCATGATCCTGGGAAGAGGCACAAAGAGGCTCCAGGAAGGAGACAAGAGCAAAAACGTCAAAGTTGGAAGTTGACCTCAACTCAAGAGACTTGATTTGTGTGTATGCTTGTGTCATGGTTGACCTCCTAGTGACAACCTGGACACAAAGACTGTCACTAGGAGGTCAACAATGACACAAACATAGACACACAAATTAAGCCCCTTCTGAGTTGAAGTCAACTTCCAACTTTGACCTGTTAAAGATATCTGTCTTATTTTCTTGGAAGGTTATGCCACCTCTAGGATGTTTCCCAATCTACCTTGGAATCCTGGACATCTGTTGGGTCCTTGGTGCTCTCTGAGCTTGGTGGTTTTCTTGCAGATGTTTCCTTACACAACTAGTGTCACGGGTAACGAAACATCTGCAAGAAAACCACCAAGCTCAGAGAGCTTTAAGGACCCTAGTCCTCCTCCTTCTCTCCACAAGCCCTATCCTTTTCTAGCACGGATGATGTTACCTAGTTGGGTAATGAAACATCTGCAAAAAACCCACTAAGCTCAGAGAGCATCAAGGACCCCACAGTTCAACTCTGAGCTACAAATGTTCTCTTCCACTGATATCCTGGCCCTGTTCCAATCCTAATCAAGTCCATCTCACCTTAATTTTTTTTGGGAGGGGAGACCTGGCTTGTGCTGCCCCCTACTGCATTGACTAATTTAAAATAACAGAGTTGGGAGGGACCTTGGAGGTCTTCTAGTCCAACCCCCTGCCTAGGTAGGAAACCCTACACCACTCCAATCTCTTCTTAAAAACTCCCAGTGTTGGAGCATTCACAACTTCTGGTGGCAAGTCGTTCCACTGGTTAATCGTTCTAACTGTCAGGAAGTTTCTCCTTAGTTCTAAGTTGCTTCTCTCCTTGATTAGTTTCCACCCATTGCTTCTTGTCCTGCCTTCAGGTGCTTTGGAGAATAGCTTGACTCCCTTTTCTTTGGGGCAGCCCCCGAAATCTTGGAAGGCTGCTATCATGTCTCCCCTAGTCCTTCTTTTCATTAAACTAGACATACCCAATTCTTGCAACCGTTCTTTATATGTTTTAGCCTCCAGTCCCCTCATCATCGTCGTTGCTCTTCTCTGCACTCTAGCGACTCAACATCTTCTTAATTAATGAACTCAGTTTTGCCTCTTCCTGTTGCAGGACCAGAGATGGTCACGCCCAATTTTGGACAGCTCCCCAGGCTCTGTCTTCTCTGAAGCACTTATGTCGGAAAGTTCTCCGCGGCTGCTTCACTAGCTACCAAGTCCAGGCGCTCAGCATTCCCAAAAAGATGAAGGAATTCCTCACCTACAGGACTTTATGACGTTGGCCCAAAAGGAGGTGCTGCTGTGACCCGTCCATTTCTCGCCTGGCCTTGTGTTGGGCACGCAAGACAAAACTTTGGGATGTCAAGCAAGGAAGCAGCATCATTTCCTAGCTGAGAAAATGACCATGGACGCTGTTGGCAAATTCTCTTTTTTTTCCTGAACTAGAAATCTTAAGAGAGTTTTTGGCATACTAAAATTTGCCAGTTATCCTTCCAGGTTTAGAGTTACTGGAATGCGGGTTTGACACCCACAGCTGCCTCTCCGACATTTAAAAAAATATTAATAATACCACCTCAGGATACAGAAAGAATCAATGATAAAGAGTGTCATTGTTTAGTCAGCCAGAGGCAACTTTTTTGGTCCTTCTAGAGTTGCTTTTGGTTCCTTTTTTTTGTCCGTTGTCTAGGAAGGGAAAAAAGTCAGGTTTGGATCTTCTCCAGGAATGCAAACGTGGGATTTGAAATCTTTCCTCCATCAATAGGCTACTGGATGCAGCTTTAAAGCTTGTGCCGTTTACGGGGAGATGGAAATCAAAAGCTCTTGATATTTTTTTTTTTTGCTGGCTTGAACGGGGAAACACTTTGTCAATAAAATAAGCCAGAGGTACGTATCAAGATTAATGATCTCAGAACAGTTTGGGGTGTCCCGTCCCCCACCAAAGACCAGAGCGCAAAAACGGTCAAAGATGGATAAGCGACGAGAAATTTCTTGTGTTCGGAACATAACACGAAACCAAAGAGAAGTATTGGTGATATTTTGGAAGACCTAGGACAGTGATGGTTAACGTTTTTCTTGTGTGGCAAAAGTGCGCGCCAGATCCCATAAGGCAATGCGCACACCCGTGTGTGCGCGCATGACTCTCCACGCTTCCCCGCCCCACACACATGCACACTCAACCCCCCGTGCTCCCCCCGCCCGCAACTCCCCCTGCCCCCCATTTTTGGCCTAGTAGGCCTCCCTGCAGCCTCCTGGGCCCAAAAGCAGGCTGTTCGGGGGGGCCACCCTCCCTGCCCCCCATTTTTGGCCTAGCAGGTCTTCTTGCAGCCTCCTGGGCCCAAAAGCGGGCTGTTCGGGGGGGCACCCTCCCTGCCCCCCATTTTTGGCCTAGCAGGTCTCCTTGTAGCCTCTGGGCCCAAAAGCAGGCTGTTCGGGGGGGGGAACACTGCACACCCCCCTGCGCATTTCCTCCTGATCATGCACATGCATCTCCTGCATGCGCCCCGCCCCCAACGCATCCTGAAAATCAGCCGGCCGGCAGGAGGTGCGTGCGCGCATGCGTGGTGGAGCTGAGCTGGGCGATGGCTCGCGTGCCCACAGAAAAGTATAGTTTCGCCATCAGGGACCTAGGAATTCCCCCGATGTGGGGAACGTGCAAATTTTTGCACCATGAAAGAGTTTAATAAGTGGCCTGGCTTGTTAAATTGGGAGACCGGATGTGAAGAATTTTAGGGTGGGTGGAAATCGAAGAGAGTTTGTTCTCTGCCCAGCTGGTGTAAATTATTCTGGATGGGAGATCTGAATCTATCGGACGGTTAGTCCGAGATGATGGTTAGTATAAGGAAATTCTTCAATCTAAATCTAAATTTAGGCATTTCCTTATAGTAAGAGCTGTCAGCCAGTGGAATAGCCTGTGGAACGGTAGTGGGGAACAGTTGTTCCTAGTTACTTGATGTCTTTAAACAGAATTCAGCTGCAATTAGACTAAACAACCTCTGAAACTTTCTTCCAACTACACTGTTGTATGATCCTTTCATATAAATGAATTTATTTTAAACAAGATTGGTAGATGGGGTGGGGAATCAGGGTGCAGCTTAATGAGGTGGCTAATGTGAATGTATTTTGAGACATTTTGAACCCAATTATACAATTCCGGAGACGTAATAAAAAAGAACCATCGTTCTGAAGCATCTTGAAGGCCGTTTCTTGTCCAGGTAGACGGGCAATGATTCTCGTCCAGATTGGTGAAAGAGGACTACGTTCTTCTGTTAAGATCCTAAGAAGCGCCGAGAATGATCAGGTGGTGTAGGAGACATCCAGAACCCACCAGGTTTTGATGAGAACGGTTCAGATGAGTTCTAAGGACAACCCTTAGGTACCCGGGTGGTAGATCAGGCAGTAGGGGAGCAGCTTGGTCCATCAAGCCTCGGCTGCAATCAGATCTCTCGTGACCTGGAAGGCAGCTACAAGAGACCCTAGTTGGATCTTCTCATTTGTTCCAGCGGCCAGGCGGTGTCTGAAAGACAACGGAACAAGAGATGACCGATCTTACGCAGGATGTTTTCTAAAGAAACCTAAAGAGCCGAGGTGGCGCAGTAGTTAGAGTGCAGTACTGCAGCTACTTCAGCTGACTACTAGTTCAGCAGATCAGCGGATCAAATCTCACCGGCTCAAGGTTGACTCAGCCTTCCATCCTTCCGAGGTGGGTAAAATGAGGACCCAGATTGTTGGGGGGCAATATGCTATTTAGTATACTGTCGATTGTTGTAAGCCGCCCAGAGTCCTCGGAGAGTGGGTGGCATAGAAATATGAATAATAAAATAAAATAAAAATAAACCTATATAGCAGTGATGGAGAACCTTTTTGGCTCCGGGTGCCGAAAAGGGAGTGCATGCGCACAGCACCAAGTGCCGAAAAGGAAGCACTTTGCGCGCTCGTCAGGGCTGAGACCAAGAAGAGGATCTACCCAGGGGGCATGCGCGCGCCGGATAAGATACTTTCGGTTTCAGCAAGTCTTCCGGTTACTGGCAGCAAATCTTCCGATTATTGCCGCGCCTGCCCGCACCGATCAGCCAGCCGGCATCCATGCTCACACCAGAAAATGGAAGACCAGCTCTTCCGGTTTACGGCGCTGCCACACGTACAAAGGCCAGCTGATCGTCACGTGCGTATGCGCACCAGAAACCCGGAAGAGGAACGGGCTACGTCGCGAATGCCAGGCGACATGGCCTCCGCGTGCCACTTTGGGCCCGCGTGCCACAGGTTCGCCATCACGGCTCTCTAGCCTGTAAAGAACATCTTACGATGTGAAAGAATCTTCAAGTTGGCGTGCAATGTGTTAAAAAGGCGAATTACACAGCAAGCTTTGAGCCTGTACAATTGTGCGATGTTGGTGTACTCTGCGCTTCCTGGATAAATGAAAATTCAGCTTTGTATAGGGAAGCGAGCTTCTAGTTCTCAACAAGTTGCAGGCTGAACGAACCTTGGCAACCGGAAGGCTCGTGGACTTCAACTCCCAGAATCCCCCAGCCGCAATCATAGGGTCGTAGTGCACAGAGAAACTATACACAAAATCAGGGCTTCCCCAGTTCTCTCCTTCATATTCTCAACACTCCATGGGTGGTTATTATTATTATTATTATTATTATTATTATTATTATTATTAATTCAATTTGTATGCCGCCCCTCTCCGAAGACTCAGGGCGGCTCACAATGCATAAAATTACATGTTGTATTTTATTATTTTTTTACTAGAGGTTGGAAATCAATGCACCAATAAAATCTTAAGCCTGTGTCTACATTATCCTAAATAATGTGAAAAACAAGGCGCACTGAAGAATACTCACTCCACATCTGCCATCTTGATCAGCAGCTGGATCCGGACAGATGTTGGGAAATCAACTGTAGGATAATGAGAGAGCACAGGCAGCATTTTACAAAAATGATTCTCCTTCATTGTACCTTAAATAGCCAAATCAATAGCACTTAAACCTTATATATCGTCTCTGGGCAGTTTACAGAGTCAGCATCTTGTCCCCAACAATCTTATATACCACTGTGAAGCGGTATATAAGTCTAAGTGCTATTTCTATTTCTATTTCTATTATTTCTATTTCTATTTCTATTTCTACTCCTACTCTATTCTACTCTACTCTACTCTATCCCTATCATCCCCATTCTATTCTATAGCTGTGATGGCGCAGTGGTTAGAATGCAGCATTGCAGGCTGACTCTGCCCACTGTCAGCAGTTCGATCCCCACTGGCTCAAAGTTGGTTCAGCCTTCCATCCTTCCGAGGTCAGTAAAATGAGGACCCAGATTATTTGGGGCAATAATCTGGGCGACACTGACACTGTAAACCGCTTAAGAGAGTGCTGTAAAGCGGTATATACGTCTAGGCACTCTTGCTATATGCACCTGCACCAGAAGCAATTAGCAAAAACGGCTCAATAACATTTCTGTGTCATCCAGCCTTCCTGGAGTAAATTTTGTCAGATTATTCATGAACTGGCAGAGATATGGTAAGGTCAGCCAATAAATAGGCATAGCAACCAAGTCAGCCAATTGGGAGCTGAGACAGACTGGAGCCAGGACGTGTTTTAGTCTGCAGCTTCTGAGTCTGTGCGGAGAAACTGAAACCAGAGTGTGTGCCGTCTGCTCTGCTGAAATGAAACTAACTGTTCTCTCCTGCCTTGTGCTCTGCCTGTAACTTCTACCACGTTGGAAGAATCAACTATTGGTATTGTAAATACTTCATCTGTTATTATGTATATAAAGAAGTTAATGAATCCAGCGGAATCAGTTATCTGTGCGTGCTTCTGGATTTGATTTTTGCAAGAAACTCTTGACAGGTTATGGGCCCAGAGCGCACAGACGACCGAATTGTAATTAAGCTGAAAGACTGCCTGTGTGAGAAACCAGACAGAGGAGGTTTTTGCAAGATGGCTGCTGTTGAAGTTAAGGAGAGCTCTCTGTGACACACCAGCACCCCAAAGTCCTTTTACCTCGATGAACAAACAAATGAATTTCGGTTAGAATGTCTTGTAAAGCCAGGCCCTTCAAGGTTTTCAGTTCCAGGATGTCTGAGCAAAATGTCAAGGAGAGCCAGATTCCATGATGTTGGCGGCAGCCCAAATCTCTTTCATTTCAACTATAATTTTTTAATTGAAAGCTCTGACAGCAGTAAAGAACCCACAGAAGCTAAAACAGAACAGAGGGAAAAGAGAGAAAGCTAAAAGTGCAATAAGAAAAAAGGAAAGTAGAATAAAAAGGGAAAAAAAGATCTCAAGAAAAATATTAAGCGGCTTCCGATGTTCTTCCCAGCAGTTAATAGAACAATGATAAGGCAATGAAGGGACCTCAGAGGTTTTTGACAAGCAAAATCAATGGGGAAGCCCGAGTCACTCAACAACCGTGGGACTAAGTTAACAACTGCGATAATTCACTTCACAAGGGTGGCAAGGAAGTTAATAAAATGGGGCAAAATTCACTTAACAAATGTTTCACTCGGCAACAGAAAATTTGGGCTCCAATGTGGTCGTAGGTCGAGGATTACCTGTATGTTTGACCTCTTTTTCTAAAGTTATATCTTCTCGCTTTTCTTTCTAAAATCTTGCTCTGTCCTATCCCATCCCATCCCATCTTTTCTATTCTATTCCATCCCACCCGATTCTATCTTTTCTATTCTATTCCATCCCACCCCATTCTAATATTTTCTATTCTATTCTATTCCATCTCATCTCATCTTTTCTATTCTATTCCATCCCACCCGATTCTAATCTTTTCTATTCTATTCCATCCCACCCCATTCTAATATTTTCTATTCTATTCTATTCCATCTCATCTCATCTTTTCTATTCTATTCCATCCCATCCCATACTTTTTATTCCATCCCATCCCATCTTTTCTATTCTATTCTATTCTATCCCATAGTTTCTATTCCACCCCATCCCATATTTTCTATTCTATTCCATTCCATCTCATATTTTCTATTCCATCCCATACTTTTTATTCCATCCCATCCCATATTTTCCATTCCATCCCATACTTTATTCCATCCCATCCCATATTTTCTATTCTATTCCATCCCATATTTTCTATTCTATTCTACTCCATCCCATATTTTCTATTTCACCCATCCCATATTTTTATTCCATCCCATACTTTTTATTCCATCCCATCCCATATTTTGTATTCCATTCCATACTTTTTATTCCACCCCATCCCATATTTTTTATTCCACCCCATCCCATATTTTCTATTCCTATTCCTATTCATTCCATTCCATTCTATCCCATCCCATATTTTCTACTCCATCCCATATTTTGCATTCAACCCACTCAATATTTTCTATTCCATCCTATCCCATATTTTCTATTCTATTCCCATTTCATCCCAGTAAGCCACTTGTACACTGATTCCCATTTGAAGGATACTGCGGTAGGCGGAAGTGAAGTCCAGATTCAGCATCCAGTCCAGGATGTTGGCAATATCAGACTTGAGCGGCTGCCCAGTACAAGTGTAGACGGTCTCTTCGGTCACTTTTCCAAAAGCCATGTACGTGCTCTGCAAGACGGAAGAGGGAAATGAGGAATCACTGCTTTGTTTGCTTAAGGAGGGCCATTTCTCCAGAGAAGACCGGTTGCTGGCTTAAGAAGACCAGGAGAACCGGACTAAACCACTATCAGAGTTTCTTGCAAAAACCAAATCCAGAAGCACACACAGATAGCTGATTCCTCTGGATTCATTAACTTCTTTATATACATAATAACAGATGAAGTATTTACAATAGCAATAGCTGATTCTTCCAACGTGGTAGAAGTTACAGCACAAGGCAGGAGAGAACAGTTCATTTCATTTCAGCAGAGTAGACAAGCACACACTGTCAACTTGCAAAGCTTTCAAGTTGCCATGAGCAGGAGGGAGGGAGAACTGAAGTGAATTCCATACATTATTTCTGACCGCAATCAGAAGGAGGGTGTTAGGTTTCACAGCCAGCCAAAGTGGTTAATTGGAGAATGTGATTTATGACATGGCCAGAGAGGAGGGAGAGAGAGACAGGCTCATAGGGGAACGTAAATCTACGTGGGGTCAGTCCTGACTGCATCCCAGTATTGCCGGAATGGTGCTCCTAATAAATGACTATATTTCCTTTGAAGTTTGGATCATGGCTCATGAATTAATTAGG